GTATATATTTTGGTAATTTTGTATTGTTGTTTTATGTTGCAAGTTTTATCTTGCCTGTAAGCCGCCCTGAGCCCTACGGGGGAGGGCGGGGTATAAATTTAAATAATAAATAAATAAATAAATAAATGAGTAGGGCACATCAGAACGGATCTGCTATATTTGTCCCTCCTCCCTGCTTCCCTCACTTTTTGACCTACAAAACAATGGCATATTTAGTTAATACTTAACAATGTATTCCATTAAGTCACAATCTCTGCTTCTCTGAATTGGATGCCAGAACATGTAGAAGCCAACAGAACAGCTGATCTTAAAAGCCAGTAAGTATTACCGAGTGTTACTCTGACGACTGCTCTACGGAGTAGATCACAGCAGCACAGGTTGTTTTCTAGAGTTGCATAGGGGCTGTACTGATGCAGCCCTCCCTGGAGGCAGGGACCGCCAGGAGACACAGCCTGCGATTCAGTAGGGCAGGTCACGGACGAGGTTGCAGAGAAGAACCAGGGTCCAGTCCAAACATCAGGGGTCCCAGAGAGAGGGTATGCCAAGTCAAGTCTAGGGTCAAGGGATTCAGGCAGCAAGTCCAAGTCCAGCCCAAGGTCAGGGGTTCCAGAAAAACTGATAGGTCCAGTCCAAGGGTCAAGGTTCCAGCAGTCTGGTAACAGCAAGGTCAGTGCTTCAGCAGCAATGTGTACTTGTTGCATCCATGAAACTGCTGTTTCTCTTGGCTGATTTTATAGCCAGTCTTAAGAAGCTACACTCCCAGACAATTCCTTGACAGTCATTCTGAAACTTCCTTGACAGTCATCCTGAAACTACTCATCCATCTCATCAGTTGACAGTTGATGACTGGCCATGAGTTTCATACTCCTCCTCCTTTCCTGCAACTCAGCTCACCTCTGACATCATGATGCTGCAGGGTTGTGGGTGAGCTAAGTGGGCTGGGCGTGGTTTCTGAATGCTTGTTTACTGCTTCAGAGCTACAAGGTGATGTCTCAGTTTCAGCTGTAGGCTGTGACTTCTGCTCAGGCAGTAACCTGATCTCTTCTTGCTCTCCTCCTGGCTCAGAGCCAGTTGCAGCTGTTTGTTCCATTACTGGCTGAGGGCCAGCTGCAGGTAACTCTTTGTCTGTGGAATCTGTGCTGTCACTCAGCACAGACTGACTTACAACAGGTGTTACTTTTCTTTCATTTGTAGTTACTCTGAAAATTTGCTGCCCCAAACATTTAGTTCCACATCCTTTCAAAGAGAAGAGGAATGTGCTGTTGAGTTACAACCAAGTCATGGAGACCAAACTTATGTTCTGGGGAAAAGATGACTAGAGGGGGTTTGCCATTGCCTGCATAGCAACCCCTGTCTTCCTTGGTGGTGCCCCATCCAAGTTCAAACCATGGTTGACCCTGCTTAGCATTCAAGTTCTGGCAAGCTTGGGCTAAGGTGAGCTATTCTGCCTGCTATCCTTCCCATGGCCCCCTACAAATTTCTATGACCTTGGTTTGATTGGATGGTTACTTCGATATGTAGTGTATACCTATTCAAGATGTTTTGCACATGATGTAGTTCTGTAGTGATAATCCATATTCAAATAGGTAAGCATATTCAAATCCATATTCAAATATGTAACCCCAAAATTCAGAAGAGGCTGTGGCTCAGTGGTAGAGCATCTGCTTGGTGCATGGAGTAGCTCCCAGTTCCCAGCAGCTCTACTTAAAAGGAACAAGTAGTAGGTGATGTGAAAGACTTCTGCCTGAAACCTCAAAGTGCTGTTGCTAGTCAGAGTAGACAATATTGACCTGGATAAGCCAAGGATCCAACTGAGCAGGCAGCTCCATGTATGTCATGTGCAGATCATGGGTATGTTATGTGCTACCAACTTGCTTCTGGCTTATGATGACTCTACAAATTAGTTACCTCTAAAACGACCTCTCACTAACAGCCTTGCTCAGGTCTTGCAAACGGAGGGCCTTTGGGGCTTCCTTGACTGAGTCCATCCATGGCATGTTGGGTCTTCCTTTTTTGCTGCTGCCTTCAACTTTCCCTAGCATTATTGTCTTTTCCAATAGGGAGCGGTGGTGCAGGCAGTAAATACCTGCAAGTAATCTATCTCCGAACAGCTGTTAACAGCTGTTCGAGTCCCACCGCGGCCGGGGTGAGCTCCCGGCCCTCATCCTAGCTTCTGCCCACCCAGCGGCTCGAAAGCCCTTAAAGTGGCGATTAGACAAATGGGTACCCACTCCTTAGGAGTGGGGGGGCATCCTACCTCCAATACTGGAGGGCGGCGGCGAACAAGAAGCAAGCCGGCAGAAAAAGAACATGGTGACGGATCGGCGGCAAAAACGGCAGGCAACTCGTGGAGGCGTGGTCCGGGCGGTATGGAGGCGTGGTGATGTAAGCGCGGTTGGAGCCTGCAGGACAGAGACCAGTGCGACTCATCGCGCAGCCGATCGCTTTCCTCCCAAGGATCAGGCGTCTTTTAATTTCATGGCTGTTGTCACAGTCTGCGGTGATCTTGGATCCCAGGAACGTGAAGTCTGTCACTATTTCCACGACTTCCCCTTCTATTTGCCAAGGAGTGATTGGGCTGGATGCCATGATCTTAGTTTTTTTGATGTTGAGCTTCAAGCCCACTTTTGCGCTCTCCTCTTTTACCCTGAACAAGAGGCTCTTAAGGTCCTCTTCACTTTCTGCCATTAGAGTGGTATCTTCTGCATATCTGAGGTTGTTGATATTTTCCCCAGCAATCTTAATTCCCGCTTGTAATTTATCCAGATCATACCAATGCTTAAAAAGACCATTGTGCTTCCACTGCACAACATGGATAACTGAGCTTAGAAGGCTGTGTTCCAAGGAAAATTCTCTGGGGAGCAATTGAGGAGCATCCTGCTTTAACAGCTCATAGGCTGTTTGTGAGAGGGTCAATGTCACGGTGTAGCCCAGTCTCATCAGATCACAGCTAAGCGGGGTTGGCACTTGGGAGACTACCAAGGAAGGCTCTGCAGAGGAAGGCAATGGCCAACCACCTCTGCTTCTCACCTGCCTTGAAAGCCCCTTGCTGGGGTTGGCACTTGGTAGGGTTGCCAGGACTGGGTTGGAAAATACCTGGAGACTTTGAGGGTGGAGCCAGGAGAGGGCGGGGTTTGGGGAGGGGAGGGGCCTCAGCATAGTACAATGCCATTACAGTCCACCCTTCAAAGCAGCCATTTTCTCCAGGGGACCTGATCTCTCTCAGCTGGAGATCAGTTGTAAAAGTGGGAGATCTCCAGGCCCCACCTGGAGGCTGGCCACCCTAGCTCTTGGAAGGGAGACCACCAAGGAAGGCTCTGCAGAAGAAGGCAATGGCCAACCACCTCCCCTGCCTTGAAAGCCCCTTGCTGGGGTCGCTGTAAGTCGGCTGTGACTTGGCAACTCTTCACAGATGGCCAGGCTGTTTGTGTAAGCCAGGCCAACCAACTCAGAAAAGAATCCAGTCTTTTGAGGTCTGCCTCTGTCGCACTGGATCATTTCCACTACAGTTCGCAACAGACGGAAGGAAACAAAAACGTCTTATTTTTATTTTGTTTTTCTTTAATTAAAAAAAAAATCCCTCCACCCCATGAGCCGGTAGAAGAGGAAGGAATCCACAGGAGGCTTTTTGTTAGCTTAAAAATCTGTTTTCGGCAATCAGCGTGACAATTAATGAGCTCCTTCCTATTAAAAAGGAACTCATTATAGCTCCGTTTGGAGGTTGATTGATCCATAGGCATGAAACAATTTCATAATGCCAAAAACCTAGGCAAACTAATGTTATTTGGGGGGGGGAAGCAATATTTAAAATAAGTATTAAGATCTCCTAAGATTACAACTGATCTCCAGGCGACAGAGATCAGTTCCCCTGGAGAAAACAGCTGCTTTGGAAGGTGGACTCTATGACATCATACCCCACTGAAGTCCCTCCACAAACCCCGCCCTCCTCAGGCTCCACCCCCCAAATCTCCAGGTATTTCCCAACCCAGTGCTGGCAACCCTATTTTTTCATGGAAGTTCTTGAACTACCTTCACGGCTAGGAACCAGATACTCTTAGGTCCCTTTCATATGGGCTCTTAAAACCTGCTTTGTTTTCTAAAGCTGCTATTAGCCAGTTTGGTGTAGTGGTTGAGTGCGCGGACTCTAATCTGGGAGAACCGGGTTTGATTCCCCACTCCTCCACTTGCACCTGCTGATGTGACCTTGGGTCAGTCACAAGCTCTGGCACAGCTGTCCTTGAAAAAGAGCAGTTTGTGTCAGAGTTCTCTCAGCCCCACCCACCTCACAGGGTGTCTGTTGTGGGGAGGGGAAGGGAGTTTGTAAGCCGCTCTGAGACTCCAAGTGAAAGGCGGGGTATAAATCCAATCTCTTCTTCTTCTTCTCTATTACTTTCAGGAGAACTGATGAGGCTGCCAGTCTCCAGGTGAGGCCCAGAGAGCTCCTGCTATTACCCCTGGAGGAAATCACTGCTTTGGAGGGTGGACTCTATGGCATTAAGAACATAAGAAGAACTCCGCTGGAGCAGACCAGTGGTCCAGCATCCCACCTCATACAGCGGTCAACCAGTTCCTCTGGAGGGCCAACAAAAGGGCATAGAGGCCGAGGCCTTCAGGAGAACATACAAGAAGCCCTGCTGGACTGGACCAAAGGTCCATCTAATATAGCATCCCACCTCACACAGTGGCCAACCAGTTCCTCTGGAGGGCCAACAGCTGGGCACAGAGGCCAAGGCCTTCCCCTAATGTTACCTCCTGGCTCTGGGATTCAGAGGCTTAGAGCCTCTGAACGTG